ATTATTAGAAGGGTTTAATTGCTTTAATATTTACTTTAGATATATTTGTCATAACTTCCTTTTAAGCCTCTAATTTTTCTGCGTAGTCTGTGACTCTTTCTGCCTTTGCATGTCCTGTTCTTCCTCGAAAGGTATACGGCTCATTAGTCGGGAATGTTCTGTCTTGTTTTATACACAGGAAGTTGTTGCATAATGAAAAAGTCACAGACAGTGAGTGGGTAATAGTGTAATTGCTTGAATGATCATCAGTCATAATCGTCGATATTTCATAATAATGACAGCTCGTTTGAGCCCAACCCAAGTTTCTTGTTTATATCAGGATATTTTTTCAGTGCTAATATTAGTGTATTCCTGAAAACTGAGCAAACACTCTGGTGTAGTAGGTCACAGTGGACGAGCTGAACCGGAGAAAGTAAAGTCACCTCACTCCCAGATCGCACCACTTCACATATGAGCAGTCATTTTCACGCTTATGCTCACCACCTGAACCTGAGTGGCAGGTTTAGTCTCCAGGTGACCTGACAACAATTCTTCATTACACAGTGACTCATTGTGCTGTGATTACAGAGTTACTGAGCTTAAGTATTATTGCAAAGGCGTTGGAAATAATTGGGATTAATTTAAAAGCTGATTGACTTGACTGAGACTTACTCCATTCATTGCAACACGTTCATCAGGACATTTGGGTTGGGCAGCTTCTGAATTCAAGATGTTCGAACAAAGGTAGAATTTGTAAAACACTAAAACGTGAAATGAGGTCACAACATGCAGCTGCGTCTGCGATTTCACCTTAATCGGTGCCCGTAACAATGATGTGTTTACTTACCCCAAAGCAAAGAGAAGTTGAGACATGCCAGGTCAATTCTGATTGGCTAGCTGTGAGTCAAACATTTCTGAAATGCCTGTGGAGAAAGAGTGTGTAAGTACTAATCACCTTGAGGGGATCTATACATGGGGACATGCATTAATTTTTTTTAAGTCCCCTCAAAGTAAATAATCAGTTTAGGGCAGGTTTATATTTGACGTTGGTTAAAAGTATGGTTATGGTTAAAGCACAAGTCAAGAAAATGTAAGTCATTAGAATTTTTTTTGAAATAACTGCACGTATGTGTCTGTGTGAGTGGGTTAGGAGAGGTGGATGGGAGGCTTCTGACGTCATTTAACCTCGTCGTCATACAGGAAACATGCCTCCGCCCGTACAGACTCTGAGTTACAAAGGGAATGTGCCTCACCATCTGTGCATGTGTGTCTGTGTGTGCGTATCACCAGAGTCCAGGTGGTGTCCTGTCTAGCAGAGTCATGAGCTTTGTTTCCACCCCAAGGCCACAGGAGTTCACTTACGCACATGTACAAAGAGTACCTCTTGTTCTGCTGAAGGGACTGGAGGTTCAGTTGTGCAATAGCTTAGATGCCGTTTTGTTTAGCTTTGCATTAGGAACTCCAGTGCAGAAAGTCCTGCCTTTTGGCTGCTTTATCCTCTCCGGTATTCTGTTCTCCATCAAAAATAATGATAAAAAACATTCACTTTCATTTGCTGCTCTGCTTGCATTTGCAAAATATCTTCATGTTTAGTCTGGGCCCCTCCGCAGCATTTCTGCGGCTAAGCTGCAGAAAGAGAAAGCATACTTGGAACATCGGGAGAAAATATTGAAGACACTAAATTATACTCTTGAATTACTGGCTGAGCAGTCGGGTGGAGCAGGGCTACATTCACACAGTATGTGTAAGAGACTTAAAGCTGCTGCTTCTCAAACCAGAGCAACTTCTGCTGCTGCTGTATTTACACGCATAGATGTCCAGAGTCAGTGCTTTCAGGTTTTATGTGATTATCTTGGTAACTGTTGTAATTAAGACATGAATTTAAAGGCTCTTTATTAAGAGAAAATATTCTCATGTTGAAAAACCCTGACATAGAATGTGTGTAGAGTCATTTAATCTCTATAGATGACTGTCTTCCAGAATTCAGTTTTTTAAAGACAGCAAACATGCAGCAGAGATTTGAAATCCAGCTGGCTTCACATAAATCTGGTTTAGTCTTTGTCCTGAGACCTAAACTAATGTCAAGAAAAGCTACTCTGCTGTTTCACTAATACAAGCAAACTGACCGCTTCACAACAAGATGACATGAAGGTGAAGCACACGACAGGTAATCTAGACAAGATTAATTTTAGACAGGAGAACACACAACTTTAAACTGCTCCAGCTGTGTTCACTTCTTAGCTGCAGTCACCTTGAAATGTTGCCAGATGCTAAGCAACAACTTATGATGAACAAAATTGTTCTGTACAGATGAGCTGCTGGATGAGAATTTGTCAAGTTGGTCACACAGACTTCTAGTACAATTTGTCTCTGAGTGGATCTGTATATCAACATTATTCAGTTCCAGCCAGTTGGACCGGCTTCAGGTGTTCAGTTCAGACTCTAATGTTTACTTCAATTTTAAGTTTTTTACCAAAAATTATCCATAAAATATTGACATAACCACTATGACTAATGGGGACTGTTTTTAACCCTGGAGATTAAACTTTTTGTATGGTGGCCCTGAGAGGCCAAACAGACTGAAACTGAAAACACCAGAAAAACGCTGCAAAAGCAAACAAAACACAACGGAAATTGGAAAAATGAAAACGAAAACAGAAATAGGAATAACAGATTTACAAAAGCAAAAGTGTTTCTGGGGAGACAATAACCCGACGGACCAATTGCAGGAACCAAAATATGCTAGGTAAGCGTGTAGGCTAATAGTTAGGCTAACACACTTACCTCTCATCTTTTCTTTCCTCACAAAACCGATAGATCCTCCACTTCCTTTAAGTGTCTCCCAGCGCAATTCTTATCTCTCTATTATTAGAGTCTTGACCTTTCATTATAAACCATACTGAAGCAACTTTTGGGATGATTTGGTTCTATATAGATCAGATAAAATGGAACTAAACTGAAAGGAAATTTAACTTTGAATTTGTTTTTAGCCTTGAAGGTTGCAGCTTGGTATTTACTGATTTATTGATCAACCTTAGATCCACTTCAAAGAAAGACCCACTAATGCTGGCTAGCAGCTAACAGTGGCAAAAACAGCAGAGCTTAGCAACAGAAAAACTCAGGATATCCACAACAACAAGTGAGCTTCACAGACTCATCGGCTCATATCAGACTCCTTTCACAAAGTCTCCAGAGAAAATAGACTTGGAAACCTGCTGAGATGAACAAGGAAATGACTCACTATAGATGAAAGGTGGCCAGAGTTGTTTGCCTTACAGTGGCCACCATAGATAGGATTTTGCACTTTATTTGAGAGGAGTCAGAAAACAGAATTCAGTTGACTGCAACGTCTGCGATCTGCTGATGTCTAGCTGTGATATTTTACAAAGAGCACCTTTAACATCAAACAAATCTGTCCCTCAAATCTTTCCAGTTCTTTGTACATTCCCTCATGTCCATTCTGATGAAATAAAGGCATGAATAACAATTTCCAATTAACAGCGTGGTACGAAAGAACTCACATTGGCAACTTGAAAGTGATAAAAGCAAGAGTGAGTCAACATGAGCCTCCAAGGGGAAGGCTGACTCAAATATTAAGCCATGACAGATAGAAGATTTTGCAAAAGTGTCAAGGAGGACCTAGAGTTTCCATTATCACAAATCTGTTGAGGGCACAAGCACTACCTTCTCTTTATTAAGTTGGAGAAAATTGTCAAATACCTGATTTTTGATACAGTCCAAGCGCCTATGGAAGATCTATAACTTAGAAAACAAAATATATAGTGCTGAAAAGAGAGCAGATGTAACAGAAACAGTAAAGGCCCCAAAAGAGGACCCGAACTTACAAGCAGCCACAGAAAAGGATCGTTCGGACAAATATGAAGAAAATAATTAAAAACAAATCTACAGAATACATGAAAATAAAGCTTTTATTGGTGTAACGAGTCTTAGTGAACCACTAGTTTAACATTAGCCAACTAGTCCTGGGTAATATATGCGCATGTGTCCATGCAAATACAAACTCATGCAGGTCTTTTCTCTTCAGGGCCATCCATCTTTCTGCATATTTCTCTCTCTGTGTAGGCGAATGTGGACACTGGTCTCCATTCTTTGCACAATCTCTCAGTCTGATTTCGTCCCTCAGTCATCAAACTGAAGTATCAGGTACACAGAATGCAGAGCTCAAGTTTCAGAAAGCATGCCGTAATCCATCGTCACGCAGATGATCACACTTGAAGAAGTGCAGCAGGGAAATTATCATAGAGTTATAAAACCAAAACAGCTTTATGATACTCTGACAAAGGCAACATGTGAAGGCTGAATCATCAAACTACCCTGTACTACTGTGGCACAAACTAATCTCCAAAAAAAGTATCTTTGCATCTGTCTTCCATACGAGTTTCCTTTATGTCTCCTTTCAGACCACATCAGTGCCTCTATTCTGTTTTAGTCTTCTTGACACAGTAATGAATTGGGAAAAGCCAACACCCTCACTTTAAATGGCTTAAAAGTCACAATAGAGCGATCACATCATGGAAACTTCCTTTCTATAGTCTCCTTTCTACCTGTCTCCTTCTACTTTGCCCGTCTATCTCTGTTTGTCTTATATACGCACTCTCTAAGGCTTTGAGTGCGAGATGCTGTGTGCCAGCAGGACTTGTAGCCATTGACAGGGGGTTAAATGTGGAAACAGGACCTGCGCGTCTGATCTCCGTCTCTTTGTGAAAACATAGCAACCCAAATAAGGAGATCGTCCACGGCTGAAGAGCGGAGCAGCCAGACCATTCCTGAGAGCGAGCTTGGATGGGTGGTTTGATAGGGTGGAGTGTGTGTCTAAGAGAGTGATAGCCAGGGAGTAAGGATGGAGTGGACGCAGAGTGGTGAGTGGCTGAATGAAGAGAGGAATGGACAGAGAGTGAGAGGATGGAGAAAAGTGATGGATGTAGGGAGGGAGGGGGAAACATGGGAGGAGGATGGCGATAGGGGTGGTGAGTGGAGACTGGAGGCAGGTTCTGTTGAAGTTTAAATAACCATCCTTATAGGGCTTGACTCTCCATCTCTGTTCACAGCTCTTTCTGTCTCCTTCCATCTGTCTCTCCTTTTCTGTCTCTGCCTCTCTTGCTTTCTCGCTTTCTCTGCAGCTTTGTTCAGCTCGAGCTTTCTCCTGCACTGCAAGCAAGGCTGAATCTCCTACATCTCAGCGAGAGCCCAAACTTTTAACGGTGCGTTTGAACATCTCAGAGGGAGAAAATCCAGCCGAGCAGCCACCATGGAGGCCATCAAGAAGAAGATGCAAATGCTGAAACTGGATAAGGAGAATGCCATCGACCGGGCCGAGCAGGCAGAGACAGACAAGAAGGCGGCAGAGGACAAATGCAAGCAGGTGGGAAAGACAGAGCAAGAAAGAGATGGATCACAAGGGATTCCAGCGCATATAGAAAACATTTTAGATATTTTTTAGGGATATTGATCTGATTTTGGAAATACGCAACTAGAACTGTATATTAAGCAAAAATATATAGATTAAGTTTATAGTTTACTTATAGATTTACTGATTAGTTGCAACTTCTGAAGCGAAATTTATTTCGAAATGTCCACACCCAGTAAATGTGCTTTTCTCTGAAGACTTTTCTTTTTATCCAGTTCTTAAACTAATCACGACATTCAAACCATACCAGACATACCTACAAGGACACGGTGTGTAAACAGTTCTTACATTTATTTATTCTACATTCTTCACAGTTAATTTACTGGTTTACTTTGCTGGGAAATATTTTAGGAAGTAGTTTAACTTTTTTTTCTTTTTCTTTTCTGAGGAATGCCTCATAGTACAGATGATCCAACCACAGGTCCAGGAAAGTTTGGAAGTTATTAAATTGCTGACTTTGGATCAAATGAGGTGCAAATCGTTGCTTTCAGTTTCCACTCGTTACTTTTTTATTCTTTAAACAAAGCTGTACTAAAGGAGATCTGCAGGAAAACAGTAGTTTGAACTTCTCTTCACTTGAACTGGTCAGCACCACCGGTACACAAGTGATGAGACCACCCAGGACCAGGATTTGGTCTTTGGGGAAAGAAAACAAGTCCACCTCAACCGCTTTATAGAGAGGACCTATTTAAAAGAACAGCCATTATGGAGACTGTGTGACCCTTAATAAGCATGCAAATGGACATGCATAGACACACAAATGGAGGATTAGACACACGTGCATGCGTGCACACACACACACACACACACACACACACAACTTATGGTTCCAGGCGTCTGTGTGTTCTCGCTGATAACAGCTGTATTTTTAGAGCCCAGAAGAGAACGGCAGTGTGGGACACAGCAGGGTTATCAGATGTACTTCATGGACTCAGGGGGGAACACTGATTAGGGGGAACAGCTAACCCTGAGAGAGAGAGAGAGAAGAAAAGGGAGAAAGAGAAAAGAGATTAGACCGCATACCAGAGTTCTTGTCATGAGAGGGTGATGCAATTTAAATAAATGTTCTTCAAACATCATAAACACAGTTCTGCTTGCAAATTAGCCACCGCAGCTTTATCAGTTGCTTAACTTGGTTTCCTTTCAACCATCATTTTGCTCAGCAGTTGTTAACTCGATAAAAGTTTCATCATTATATCTTTGCAAAGGTTCATTCATCTGTGAGAATAAATATGATGGTCTCAGTGCTCAGATGAATGCAAATAGAATAGAATAGAATAGAATAGAATAGAATAGAAGAACCGACCATACCAGACTCCATCAGAATAGAATAGAAAAGACTACACCAGAATAGAATAGAATAGAAAAGAATAGAATAGAAGAACTGACCACACCAGACTCCATCACCATAGAATAGAATAGAAAAGACTACACCAGAATAGAATAGAATAGAATAGAATAGAAAAGAATAGAATAGAAGAACTGACCACACCAGACTCCATCACCATAGAATAGAATAGAAAAGACTACACCAGAATAGAATAGAATAGAATAGAATAGAAAAGAATAGAATAGAAGAACTGACCACACCAGACTCCATCACCATAGAATAGAATAGAAAAGACTACACCAGAATAGAATAGAATAGAATAGAAAAGAATAGAATAGAAGAACCGACCATACCAGACTCCATCAGAATACAATAGAATAGAAAAGAATAGAATAGAAGAACTGACCACACCAGACTCCATCACCATAGAATAGAATAGAAAAGACTACACCAGAATAGAATAGAATAGAAAAGAATAGAATAGAAGAACCGACCATACCAGACTCCATCAGAATAGAATAGAATAGAATAGAAGAACCGACCACACCAGACTCCATCAGAATACAATAGAAAAGACTACACCAGAATAGAATAGAAAAGAATAGAATAGAAGAACCGACCACACCAGACTCCATCAGAATAGAATAGAATAGAATACCAAATCACCGAACAGAACAGAGACTAGAATAGACCAGACCAGAATGGAATAGAACAGAACACAAGAGAACATAACAGACCAGACCACACTATACTAGAATAGAATTGAATCGAATCAAATCGAATCTAAGAACAGAAAAAAACAGAGACTAGAATGGACCAGGCCAGACCAGAATAGAATCCAATCCAATACAACACCAGGCCAGACTACACTACACTAGAATAGACTAGAATAGAATAGAAGTTCATCTAAGGTTTTCATGCTAAACTGAGTTAAAATGAAAAAAACAGCACTAACAGTATCCTTTGTTTTAGCTGGAGGAGGAGTTACTGGATCTGCAGAAGAAGATGAAGCAGACGGAGGATGAACTGGACAAATTCTCTGAGGGCCTGAAAGATGCTCAGGAGAAACTGGAACTGTCTGAGAAGAAAGCTGCAGATGTGAGTGAACGGCACGCACACACACAGGAGGGTTCGGTGTCACTTCATTTTCAGGACACTTTACTCAAAGTTAAACTAGAAATCAAACTGCCAAATAACCATGACCATTACAGTCACTGAATCCTTGAATCCCGTAAAGAAGAACAAAGGATGTTAATACTTGTTTCATCTGACTCTGGCATGCACACATTACTGTGGCACTACTGAAAACTAGGGACCATTCTTCCACAGCTGGACTCTTTCTAAGCCGGCACCAGCTGTGGCTTTGCTTTGATCCTCGGTGAACGATTTGGAGCACTTCAGAGACAGTTACATTCCTGTGCAGCCACTCCTGAAAGATGAGCACACGGTTAAACTATAATCCCTTCACCCAAACACACACACACACACACACACACACACACACACACACACACACACACACACACTGTAAGCCTCATCATGACATATGTTCTGACATTTACAGTTACACAAACATGAGGAGGGACATTTACAACAAATTGCATGCAGATGTTGCAATCATGATAGCAAAGGGACAAACATGCAAAAAATATAAGAGTTTTTCATTTTGTGCCACTTCATATGTTTTAATACAATTTACTAAAGGTGATAACTAAAATTAAAACAAACAACAACACAAAACTGTTTATATGCCTAAATTCACTTTTGGCACTTTAAGGATTTTTAAATATTTTAAGTATTTATGATGCTTTTGGACTTTAATTAAATAAATTATTTAAAAGTCAGTTTGATACATGAATGTGCAAGTTATGGGCACATCTAGGACACAAGGGGAGATAATTAGTCAATAACCTGCCTCTTGTAAGCTCACTGCATTGCACTTACAAGAGACAGGGAACAAGACGACCACTCACTCGCTGTGAATGCAGCACTATTACTTGGGCTGTTCTTACATCAGTGGAAATCAGTGCAGTCCCACATCAAACAGACTTTGTTCTAACGACTTAGCAGGTTTAATAGCATTTCATGTCCAAGCTGACTAATTTGAACATTTGGAAGCTATTATGTTTTTTTAATTCTTCGTTAAGAAGCACACTGCCTACATATCCAACAATGCATTTCAACCTCTAGCTGTAGCTTCAGGTAGCTTAACCCACAAACTTCAGGCATGACTAAGGAGGCGGTGAAAGAAGTCTGATAAGCTTTTTTTATTTCTAACTTCACACCACCAAATTACTTTATTGTCAAACTCGCAGTCTTGCGGTCAGAGCCAAATGATGGAGACACAGCTGGACCAAAAGCTGTAAACAGACTTCCCCTTTAACTAAACTCAAACTTGCAATGGCAACATTTTTTGGCTCTGGAGTATTTACTTTTTCTCATGTAAAGATGTAAATAAATGTAACCACCACTGAGAAATCCTATATGGATCTTGTTTGTGGACAGAAACAGTTAATTGAGTAAATGTAGCAGAACATTGGAATTGGCAGTTCTCCTGAGCCTAATCAGCTGCAATCTGGGAAAGGCGGTCATATTTTAGATTGGCATCACCACAAACCACATGGTTGTATATCTGTCAGTCGTGATTCATGCAGCACAGCTGTGTGTTTGCTTGCTTGTGTCCGTTACTGTGTGTTTGTATGGGTGGAAGGGGGAATCACATATATCACAAACATACAATACTGTTTACAGTATACCTGTTTATCAGTTAAATGGCATTTTAATAAAAAGTAGGGGAAAGCAGTACCACAGCATTACGAAGCAAAGTGAGCACAGAGAGAGAAGAGTCATGCACAAACCTCCCCCACCTTCCACTAAGATGTGGTATTGTTTTAGTCTCATGGAGGATATCCCAGGGAAATGTGATGTTGCACTAAACACAAAGAGAAGGGAAGTGCCTGCTATATAGACATAGACCTAGGGGCTGAGACATGCTGGTTTATCCTCACGCAGTGATTAAATAAACTCAGGATGGTTCTGAGAAGCCTCACATATAAACTGGGTCAAGTGGGCCCCTTGAAAACCCAGAGCCTGACCTGTAGCTATTACTCTTGGGTGTCCTGTAGTGTTTGGAAAGAGAACTCAAGCGGTGCGAGTTGTGTTAAAAAATAGATGTCCACTATGGCATTTTTTTAGATTTACCACAGAGTACAGAGTGACATCAAATTATGAAGTCTGCTCTGCTCCACTTCCATGAATTCCCCTCCACATGTCACTTATTAGAGGAAGCAGTCAAGTCATTACGCATCTGAATTCACACCGACCAAAATTGGAAACCTGAAAACGACTGGGAAAACAGAGCAATGAGCCAGCAGCTCCTGCAAGCAAACCGTTTATGATTCATGAAAAAGGGCACCAGAGCAGACGTGCTGATATTTAGGTCATCACTGTTTATTGCTAGCTCAAGCCACCAGACGAAGAGTCTATCCTTATAGATCTAAGTACTTAAACACAGTGCAGTGAAAAGTAAAGTTAGCGCATGTGGTCTTGGTACAGGCATTGATTACACCAATCACAGCAGCAACAGTCACAGTTTTAGGGCAAAGCTGGTCAGCCGGGCGGAGAGAGCAGAGAACAGGCAGGGGGGGGCTCTGGTATGTGAGGAATGTAGCTAAGGCAAACAGAAAGGCCCACACTCCTGTGTCTAATGAAATCAATGCTTCCAGCTTTTCTGGTGCAAGGGCCAAATCAGAGAGAGAGCAGCTCAATCAACACATGAGACTGACTGTGAGACATGTTCTTCTTGTTGAGAACAGTAGGACTGAATCTGAGATGAGCCTCGGCTGAAATCTGCTGGCCTACTTGCCCGTCTGCCCGACATATTCAAGCTCCCAGGCTGATCGTGTGAATAGGAGCCGATGAGGGGTAAACACAGGCAGGGCAAGCAGTGAAACATGAAAAATGAAGAATAAATTTGATTTACACCCACACAATGCACATCATCAGTCAGCAGGGAAGTGGTTCATGTATTCTGTATTTGCTCTCTGCTTCAAGACAAACACTAACACATTTCTATTTAGAGAGTTGCGGGTTTACTGAGAGGTCAGAAGTTGGAATTATATATATATACATATATATATATACATATATATATATGTATATATATATATATATATATATATATATATA